GAGCAGCGAGCGGCTGAGTGGTGACTGAGCCACTGCTGGGCTGAACCACGACATTCCAGCATACAGATATCCCTGGATACTAGCATTACCACCTGGCTGCTATCCAGATCCGTATTACTGGCTAAGCAGCAGTGGACCAGTTCGTAGCACCACAGACAAGTGACCACACGACAACAGTCACCATCATACGGTCTAACCTAGTACCTCTGAAAGTGGCAAATGCTTCCTATTCAGGGACCTGTTAAAGCTCTCTGGCAGGTTGAGGAGCCATGGAAAGCATCTACATATGGTGCTCTTCTAATAGAGAAACCTTGTCTCTGTGGCCTGCCCACCTGGCCTTGCTCATGGTGGCAGAACTGAAGGGGGAAGATATTTGCATAGTCCATGCCTGCTGAGCCCACTGGGGTTCATTGCAACAGTGGGTGGCCATGGCTGGTACAGACCTTGTGCTGATGGTCTGATTTGTAACAATAAAGGTGAGGCGGGACTTGTATTTCTGAAGAAAAAGAACCTTATCTGACTCGGGTTTTAATGTGTGTCAGTGAACTACATTTTCTATTTATCTTTTAATAAGATAGAGGAATATCTTTGCTGTAGGAGGTAAAGTGATCCTGGAACTGACTTGAAAACTGAGTAGTAGTTATTGGTTAATGACTCACTAGATATTTTCTACTGTCTGCTATAAATAGAGCTGCCAGAGTAACTTACAAGAGTATGAATTCACTCTGATTTGGCTAAACCCACAGAATACAAATATAATTACATACCTTTGATTAAAAGCACAGTAAAATAAAACATAATTACAAATATATTTGTAAAGATCCTAGAACACAAGTGATTGGTACTGTGTATCTGGCTTATTGACATCTGTTACAAAAATCACGTCTGTAAACAAAGAATGGTCTGATCATTTGAGCACAAGGCAGGGATCTAGAAGCTCATATTTTCTAACTCATGTTTCCATACATGTGAGACAAGAGGAATCATTTAGGAAGTGACTTGGGCATCTGCCAGTCCAGAAGAGGTTTAGTTTTCCATAAATCCCATGTGGGATAGGTCAGCCTCATGTGCTTGTTCAAGATGACCTAGGACGTTTATTATGATACTACGTTTTTAGAGTCAGGTATCTCAGTCATTCCTTAAATCTCCCTTTTCCATGGTTTAATTATCTGTGAAATGGAAAGATTACATTTTTTGTACCCAATAGCATCTCTATGGTAGTGGATGAATGAATGCGTTGGAAAGACCCTGAAGTTGCAAGGCACTAGGAACAATATGCTGCGAGTATTTATCTGAGAAAATTTGGTGAGTCTAGTCCTTTACTCTTCTATAAGTAAATTAGTATTTTTCTAGGGCCAATGACACCAGAATTAGTGGGATACAACAGTGAAAACCTTTGAGAAATTCTGACAACTCAACTGAAGAAAAGCAGATAAACCACAACAGAGGCACTCCCTCTGCTTCTGTATGAAGCACTAATTAAAATTAATTTCTCCAGGTTAGCTTTCTTTTCAGAACAGCTTCTCAGGCAACAACCAGCTTCATTTAGTGATGGACTTGACCTCAGAGATAACACAGAAAAGTAAGGAACTAAAACATGTTCCCGTGTTGGGTTTTATGCTTGTTGCAGCAAGTCCTTTGCCTGAGACAGGCAGACCTGCTAGGGAAGGGAAGAAGTAGAAAATACTTGCATCTACAGGATATGTTCTGTTTTCAGCAGTATTTTTGATGAAGGTGTTTTATTTTGAGCAAGTGAATGTAATAGGCTGAACCATTCCCACAAAGAGAAGGCATCATGGATCTGTGCAAGGAGCTGTTCCCCTCTTCCAGCCGTCTTTTGTGTCTTTTCCTACCCTTCAGCTGTGCTTTATATCCTTTCTGGTCCTCTAGTGTCTGGGAACTCCACGGGGTTGTATCTTTTTGCCTGGCTTTTTCATTCCTTAATGCAACACTGATTTCTCCATTCAGAGCAAATTCACAATCAAAGAAATTTAGGATTTTTTCCTATACTTATAGTTCTGTCCATCAGAAAACACCTGGAACTTCTCTGTTTGAACAAAATGCAATGGCTTTAAACTGAAAGAGGTTGGACTTAGATTAGATATAAGCAAAAAAATTTTTACAATGAAAGTGGTGAAACACTGAAACAGGTTGCCCAGAGGAGTTGTGGATATCCCATCCATGGAGGTGTTCAAGGCCAGGTTGGATGAGGCTTTGAGCAACCTGATCTAGTGGAACGTGTCCCTGCTTGTGGCAGGAAGGTTGGAACTAGATGATCTTTAAGGTCTCTTCCAACCCAAACCATTCTATGATTCTATTAAATAATTAATAAATGAGTCTGAAAAATTCATCTACACTCTCTCAAGCTCTCATCCCTACTTTAAGTCATGTTCCTGTCTTGGCCTCAGTCCCACCTCCAGCTAAATGTAGGCTTAATTTAAAAATTGACTAAAAAAGACTTGAATTACAGCAGAAAGTGGAAGTAGAAAATGTAAACAATGATAGCAGAATTTCTGGCTTTGTTCCCTTGTGAGTATATAATATATTGTAATTATATCTTCTCTACTTTTATCCTTTCTCTCCTTCAGTGCTGGAACATTACCTGTCACGTTCCGGTGCCTTGAAGAAAATCTAGGCATTGATAAGCGTGTAACAAGGTTTGTTCTTCCTGTTGGAGCAACTATTAACATGGATGGAACTGCCCTTTATGAAGCTGTGGCTGCCATTTTCATAGCACAGATGAATGGAATTGAGCTGGATGGAGGACAAATAGTTACTGTGAGGTCAGTTCAAACTACTTGTAGGCTTTGTTTCTACAGACTGTAAAATGCAAAACTTTGGGTTGGATGTCTTCTCAGTAGCTATGGGATTCGTTGTGAAATCCATAGATTTCTAATAATGACATGCAAAGGAATGTCATATACATAGGTCTTGGTTCTCTGGTGACATGCATTTTCTATCATTTTGCAGCCTTAGCACATGCTGGTGGTGTTTTACACAGTTGTGCAGTTGACAATACAATGTGAAATGCAGCACACTCTGTCCACTGCAATGCCTTTTTTAGTATAGAGTCATGCTACAAGTGATATTTGGGGCGTTAACTTTCTAGAATGTATCTATTTATATACATTGGAAGAAAAAAGTGTACCTAAAAAATGTGTCTATGTATTTACACTTGCCTGTACTTTTTCTGTGACTTCGGTGAAAGCAAACAAAATGAACTGAGAACAGCTCAGCCTGAGGGTGAGATTGCCTGCATTATGGTCAGGATACTCCCAGACTTTTTGTCTCTAACCCAGCAAATATTAGCTCTAGACTTTTCATATCAAATATCTAGGACTAAGCTGAATATCTGGAAAGACAAAGGAAAGTACCCATTGCAAATGGATTGGAGTGACTGGAGATTGTAATGGAGTTTTAAGACGTATTAGGTAGGATGACTAATAAAAAACAGTGGCAGTTATGACTGCTGCTGCTAAAGTTAATTTACAATGGAAAACTTGATGAAGACACCTGGCCTAACATTTTGACTAGTTAAAATGGAAACCAGAAGTAAAGGCTGCCAAGTTCGCCTTCTTCCTGTAGTTTTCACAAACCCACTTTTCTTTTATGAAACTCTTTTAACACAGAAGAAACTCCTGCAAAGGGATGTCTAATTCTATGTTTCTTGCCCAACTATACTAGTTCCACATTTTCCATTTCTTTTCCTGCCCCAACCCCTGATATAGTAAAGCCAAGGTTTGTAAAAGGTTCAGGGCTGCTTCTGATGACAGCAGATGCTAGACCTGCATGATGCGTATTTGTTGTTAAGACTGGAAACAGTTATTTCAGAGATGCCACATATTAAACTAGATTAAGACCAGGAAAATTCAAATCAGGAATCACCTGCTGTCCAAGGTATTTGGTAGGCTTGTACCCGAGTTACTCCTCCTCCTCTGAGGGACTGACCCATTAGCTCTTCCTGATCTCACCATTTCAAGGCTGGCATAGCCAGCTGTGTGACTCACGTTTACTAAGCAGGCAGCAACTTTGGGCTATCTGTAAGACCATTGGTTCTTCTCTTCATGCAGTATAGCATGTCTGCTACAACAATATGACAAGAACTATCTCTCAAAATAGCAATACAAATAAATGAAAGATTATTAGGTTTTGTCTGCCAAATCCAGTTTGTGATACTGGGGATATTCAGATGATCCAGACAAACTCATGAAGACTTAATTAGCCTTTGATCACCCCTAGTAACTTCATATTGGTCATGTAGATCCTCTGATTTCCTGTCTTCTTTGGGAGAAGGTGATCTTGGAAATGGTGGCTAAGCCAGACTCAGTGTAGACCCAAACAGTGCTAGCTGCGTTCCCCTCCAGCCCTGTAAGCACTGCTGTGGGAAGGCTGGCAGGAGCATTTCCTCATAGAGCTTCCAAGTATCCCCTTACCAATTCCGGCTGAGAGTGCCTGAGGAGCTGGCACTGGACGCAGAGCCTGACAGCAGAGCAGACCATCCTGCCTGATTATCTGCTGGACCTATCTGGGAGTTTAGTAGGCCAGGTTACACCCTAGCTCAGACACTTGACAAACACACTGCAGCCTGGATTGTCTGAGTCAGACCCAGCCATCTGCCAGCTCTAAATCAGGCTAACATCCTCACAAATTAGTTCTGTGACTAACAGCCAAGGATTTCCCCCACAGAGACCTTTTTTCCCTACTTCTGCGTTGGAAGTACTTTCAGATTTGTTGGGTACACCCACAGAAGTACGACCATGTTACTCATCTCTGTGTTTAAAAAGACAAGAGAGAACTTTTTCTTTCCTTTTTCCTTTTTCATTTTCCCTTGTTCCTTTTTCCATGTTCCTTTTTCTTTTTCCTTATTCCTTTTTCCTTTCCCTCCCTCTCCCTCTCCTTTTCTTCCCTGTTTTTCCCTCCTTGGTTTGTTCTGTGACAAATTTATTTTCCGTTCTTCATAGGATTGCCTAATGATGTGGATATTTGTTATGGTCTGTGTTGTATTTTTACAAACATTTGAAGCACAGACATTCACTCTACTGGTCTTCATCAAAAAATAAGAGAGGCAAAAATAAAGACAGGTTTGGATTTATGAAACAGTATGATGAATTTTGCCTTTTTGTCTAGGGTAATTTGTGTCTAGGCTTGGTACACCACTGGCTTGTACTGTGGGAGTTTTGGATACCAAGACTTTTACTTTTCTGTTATTGATAATAACCACTTTCTCTCAGCCATTACCTCACAATTCAGACGTCAAGTACTGTAAATAAACAGAAATGAACCACCCTGAAAATTCAACTTGTAGCCACCAAACTCCAGCAAGTCTGGATGATGAAAATGCAGGATTCAACACCCTGGATGTGTTGATAGAACTCAGAAAACACCACCAGGCCAAAGATTTGAATGTCATAACCAGCTTACAGAACTTAAAATTCTTAGACCACTCTCTTACAACTCTCAGAACAAACCCCATAGATCTGGCTTCCCCTATTAGATGTTTTTGGAGAAACACAAGCGTGAAAACTGTGGCCTGAGCTTACCATGATTTATCATATAGTCGTCAGTTTTCTGGGAAGAAGTAATTAAAAATAAGACTTTCCTAATGATCACATGAGTATGCAGTGGAAGTGTATGTTCCTCTTCCTGCTACCTCCATTTGGTTTTTGTTTTTGCAGTTTGACCGCCACCCTTGCAAGTGTTGGAGCTGCCAGTATTCCCAGCGCAGGACTTGTCACTATGCTGCTGATCCTTACCGCAGTGGGTCTCCCTACCCAGGACATCAGTTTGCTTGTTGCTGTTGACTGGCTTTTGTAAGTTGTGATGACTCCACTGCTTGGTGCGAAAAAAGCAGTGAAGTAATTCTTGTGTGTAGTGATTTTCACTCATGGATCTTATAGAACTGTAAGACTCTCTTCCACAGATGAAGCAAAGAAGGGAATAGACTATTTGACGAAGTAGGAGACACTGAAAGCAGCTTCTCAGGTGGTACAAATTGTTACAGAGCTACTGAAGTCAGATGAAGACCCTTGGGCTCACACACATGTATTTTCTTCTTCCTAATGATGCCTCTCCATCACAGACATAGGTCAAGAGCAGTTTTCTGATCTTTGCTCTCATATTTCTGTTTCTTACACTTCTGGTCTAAAATAAGGACAAATGCTGAAAATGCAGGTTCCATCAGGATGTTGTCAGCAAGGTGATTTGGGCATTTGTGATATCGAATGTTTTATCCTCATAATGGGGAAAGTCTGTTTCTTTTTGTACATAAGAAAGTAATATACTTTTAAGAAAGAAACTGTTCTAGATCAGGGTATAGAACATTGTTCCTTAGTTTGATTTTACTGACAGGTCCCTCAAACTGGAAAGACTGACTTCCATTTTCAAGGACTTGAGATCAAAGCCCTTCAGTGCCATTGCAGGTCCTCCGACAAGAAACAGCTAATCCACAGATAGTTTTCCAAGGCTTTTGTTCTTCAACATTTGAATACAGAAGCTGTAAATACAGACAGAGCATGTACTAAGCCACATGCTTTCTCGTGATCATGTGACAATGTAGGCATCTTTCTGTCACCTGCGCAGAGCTGGCAGGGACTCAGTCGTCCTCTAAGTTGTAATGGCCTCTAGAGGCTTCTATATTGTCCTGTACTGCTGCAGCACAGTGTATTCTGGTCAACAGCTCTCTCTCCCCTGATATTCTTTTGTATAGTAAAGACATATGTTTCTGTTGTGCCAGCCGTGGTGCCCGGAAGGGGAGATATAAGTACCACTCTGTACTATTTATGCATTTCCTCCTACACTGGCAGCCTCAGCTGCCCACTTGTGGTAGCTTTCAGCCTCAAACACACTTCTAAAATTGTGCAAGAAGGAATAGCAGAGTTGAGAATGCGAAGATAAAATAGAAAATTAATATTCTATCATTATCTTTTGGCTTATTGAGAAGAATTCAAGAACTTGGTCAGTCCTCTGACATGTATTTTGGATCTACTGCTGTACTTGATCGGTTATTCCCTATCTTGTCACTAAGAGTTGTGAAGACTAGCACGTAGCTCCAATTTCTGCCTCAGGGAAAAATGAAAAAGGAATTCACAGCTTGGGAAAGCAAAGGGAGAAGATGGCTTACATATTTTATATATAACTGAATGCCATGAT